AGCAGTGAGGCCATTTCAATATAAGCCTCAACTGGAAAGCTGTCTTTGTTTCTTTGAAATGATGTATGGGAGGCTTTTGTTACATGAAGGTTCAACAATGTCAATGAAGAAGAGAAGAAAGTTACTCAGTATTTGCATAATCTGACGCACGTTTTGTCTTCTATCTCAGTACAGGCCCAGGCTGCCTTACCACCTGTCTCTGGACATTGTTCCTGGAGAGTGGGTTCAGGTGAAAAGAACTGTCACCTAGAAATACCGGTCCTGAGTGGTCTCAACTATGCCAAGTCCTCCTGATTTAAGGAATCAAGGCGTGACTCCATGGAAAGTCCCATCATATCCTCTCCAGTGACAAGCTCCGCAGCTGGACGGCCTGAAAATGAAATTTCAACCTGCCTCACCTGTTGAACTGTTTCCATCTAAGTAGGAGAAGAACCTCAATGGATTGGACTACCCTGGAAATGGTGTTCCTAGAACCTGGAGTATGTATTACAATATTTTTCTTCTGCTACTGTTGTTTCCCTTGTACCTTCTTTGGTAGAAGGAAGGACCATGGGCCCAATACTTTATGGAAGAAAAGGGAGTTGTGTTTATAACAAGACTACGTATTCCACTTGCAAAGGGGCAACAGGGTCACTTGTTATGCTCCTGTCAATACAGTACAACTTTACCAACAACTTTAAATCTGGACATATGGAGGAACATACAGACATTACCTTTTGGGGAAGAATAACACGAGACTTATGGACAAGTGCCAGAATCTTTTTTTTTTTTTGATGCATGTAAAGCTATTTACTATAATCAAGCTAAATGGACTAAGTGTGGAGACAGGCATACTCATTAAACGCCAAATATGTTTGCACATCCTACCCAACCTGGCACATTCAAAGGATTCCTGCAACCCAGTGTGCTTCAAGATAACCAGACCAACACATTTTTTTTAGCATCATTTGAACTCGCTATCAATTGTACCAGATACAAATATGGGTTCAAGTTGATTTTCATGAACTGGAAACCACAATTGAGATTCCCTCAGTATCAAAGACTCTTTTTTTTAATTGATCTGGCCCAAAAGAATTGTTTCATTTTTAAATGTGAAGCTTCAGAGAACATCACTTCGTAATACAGGCGGATGCAAATGATGTGGCAGTGGGGGCTGTACTATTACAAAAAAACGATGAAGGGGTATTGCAACTCTGTGCATATACATCCAAGAAACTCACCGAAATGGAACAGCGCTGTCCTGTGTGGGAGAAAGAGGAATACGGGATACGTTGGTCATTACTCACATGGTGCCAGTTCCTTGAAGGCAACAAAATCCCTTTCCAGGTGTGGACAGACCACAAAAATTTGAAAGCCTTGAAAACACCCAGGAAGCTCAACCCCAAACAAGCCCGCTGGTCCCAGCATTTTCACCAATTCCACTTTACGCTCAAACATTTGACGGGGGAAAGAACTTCCTGGCAGATGCACTATCTCACATGCCCCAATATAACAGCACGCGAGCCACTGACTCTAAACCGATGATGGTAGAATCACAACTGGCAGCGCCAGTAACCACCAGAGCCCAAGCTAAATTAAAACCACAGCTGGGGAGCCAAACCAGAATTGAATTCCGGAAAAGATTGGAAACAGATGAATGGTTCCAGAAAAATAAACACGTGTGCACAATGAAAGACGGGCTGCCTTGGGTGGGGGAAAAGTTATATATGCCAACAACCCAAAGAGTCACATTCATGCAGCTTTGCCATGATACAAAATCAGCAGGGCATTTTGGATTTGTAAAAACATTACAATTAATTAAACGGCAATTTTGGTGGCCATCCATGAAAAAGGACATAGAAAGTTACATGGCCAGCTGCCCAAAATGTGCAACTGCCAAGAGGTTGCAAGGGAAATCGCCCGGACTGTTACAAACAGTAGCAAATCCCTCAGCCCCCTGGAGGGAAATAGCCATGGATTTTATAGTGGAATTAACAGAAAGCAATGGGAATACTGTCGTCTGGACCGTCACGAATTTGTTTTCCAAATAGGTGCACTTTATCCCTTGCCAAAAGATTCCCACTGCAAAAGCCTTAGCAAAACTTTTCGTGCAGCATATTTACAGATTGCATGGGGCATCCCAACGCATCATATCTGATAGGGGAGTGCAATTTACGTCTGCATTTTGGAAGGAATTTTTATCCCTTTTAGGGACCACTCAGGGACTGACATGTAGCCATCATCCTCAGGGGAATGGACAAGCGGAAAATTCGAACTCATTACTTGAGCAATATTTAAGATGCTTTATTAATTTCCAACAGTCTGATTGGACGGACCTACTCCTCTTCGCAGAAGTTGCCTACAATAACGCAGTCCACTCTGGCACAGGTTACACTCCTTTTCAAATAGCTACTGGTCAAAGTTTCAACCCCATGCCAGAACTAACCCCAAACGAACCGGCGATCCCATCACTGAAAGAATGGATGGAACAATTACAAAACACCTGGCCAATAGTTAGAAAAGCACTAGATGAAGCTAGGCAGGCATACAAAGCACAAGCCAATAAAAAAAGGTTGAGCCTACACCATTCATTATAGGAGAAATGGTGTACTTATCTACAAAATACCTAAAATCCCTACAACCCTGTAAAAAACTTGGACCAAAATATATAGGGCCTTTTCCAATTAAAAGAATCATAAACCCAGTAACAGTAGAATTAGAATTACTCCAAAATCTTAGGGAAATACACCCAATTTTTCACTGCAGTTTGCTGAAAAGAGAACATCAGTCACCTTTACGGCCAAAAATCCCCCACCACCACCTCTAATCATAGTGGAAGGTGAACAACACTTCGAGATAAAGGAAATCCTAGATTTTAGGAGATATCATGGGGCAACTTAATACCTAGTAGCATGGAAACATCTCCCTGCCTTACAAAATGAATGGGTCCATAAACGTCATGTCAGAGCCCCAAAGCTATTAAAGAAGTTTCATACAGAGTATCCTAACAAACCAGACTAACTTTTATACCTGTTTTCTTTTCTTTTCAGGTGGATCTCTCTTATTTTTAAGGGAGGCAGGATGTCAGAATCCAATTATATTTCATTTCTAGCTACCTACTCTGAAAAAATCCCATTTCTTACTCTCTCTGGATTCTGTCATACTACGAAAGGGGAGGAGGATAAGCAAGGGGGTTTTATGGCTCTCACTTCCTTCATTAAACTACAAAGGACTGGATGTTGATTCTCATCAAGAGGACTGACCATAACAATATGGCCATCGCCTTTCATGTAATCTCTCTGAAGTCTCCCTTTTGCCGGCAGTGAGGGAAAAGGGGGGGAATAATGCAACGCCTGGGATCTGGGAAAAGATGAGGATGAGTGATTGTCGCCCGGAAGAACTGTGGGGTGGGGCTGCTTGGGAACATTTTAAAACATTGAAGGATGGGAGAGAATTCCCCAGATCCTGTCTAGAATGCCTGCAATCATTTTCTCTTAATAAAGATGCCTGTTGGAAGAGATATTCCAAGAGTTCTGTGTTCTTAAGATGTAAAGTGAGGTGGGTCCTTACAGGAGCACTGGATGTTGGAGGATGGTTTTCAGGAATGTTTCATAATTGGAAAAGGATATTGTTCATTGTGGTTTTGGCCTTAGGAGGGTTGTTGTGTTTATCATGCTTTATCCCGCTTATTTAGAGAATTGTTAGATCTACTATATCCGGACCAACTTTTACTGCCACTCCTATCTATAACAATAAACCAGCTAAAGCAATGATTTTGAAACCTTTACCTTCTGACTATATTCCCCTCTTTAAGAGTCCCTAAGCCTATTTAGCCTTTATATTAAAATGGGAGGAGTGAAGGGATTTTATTATGCTTAAGCTTGATATTAGTAATATTGATATTAGTAGTGATATTTTGTAATCATTATATGTATATATCTTTGTTGATGTGCAAGCAGCTTTGTAGGTGCTTTATATTGGGAAATTGGTTAAATAAAAGCAAATGTTTCATGCTCTAGGTACAGGTGATTGCTTACATGAAAATAGCAAGGTAAGGGGAGGGGAAAAAGGTAGTTACGGATGGAGCCTGGGTTGCTGTGTATGAGTCATCATCTAGGAATTGGGTTTTTTTTTGTGCCATCTTATGCCTGGTACCAAGACCTGATGTTTTTGTTCTGGAAAGGTATAAAAGGTGGAACACATCTTTCTTGGGTGTTGCCTTCATCGCTCTACCAGCCACAAAGAGAGATGGGGTCACCCAACTCTATTTTGATCAAAATAAAAGTTGTTTGCTTGTTGAAACCTCGCTCAGGAGTTTCTTTTGGCTCTTTTAAATTCCTGAGTAATGCTAGGGCAATTGTGAGGCTAAGTGGAAAACCTTACAGTTGTCTGCCAGGAAGGATGTGACCCAATTTCCAAGACTTGCCAACACTAGTGATGATAAACCCTCCCTCCCTATACATATAGGGACAAATGTGACTGCAGTGTCACCATAAAAATTAAAACCATAGAAAAAAAGCCCCCGTCTTCTAACCAAGAGTCCGACCCGAGTTGACGACACTTAACGTGTTTCTAACGATGACAGCTCTACATCAACAAAAGAGAACAACTTGCTCGCTGGAGAATCTATCCGCCCACTCTTTTCCCAGGCTCAGTTTCTCACAGCCATTCACTTCGTGGGCAGGGCAAAAAAGAAATTTAAGACACTCACAGACGTTCCAAAAATCTCAATCTCAGAATAAGACCTTAAAACTAAGTCCCTCCTCCTGGATCTCGCCTCCGGGAAATTATAAAAAAAGAGGCACGTGAGGGTCCCGTGATGGATAATTGACATAGACTCTTTTACCTCTTTCTTATTAGAGCGCCATCTACGGAGTCGGTCATCTTCACTTTTTATTGGGCGACAAAGACAAATAGGCAGGCCATCCGGGAGTAGATTTTCTCTGATTAGAGAAAATTCTTGGTGGCAACCAATCCTCCCGCAGGAACGAGGATTACTCCTCCTCCTTCCCCCATTTCACTGGTTCCGGTATCCAGAGCGCCTCAGAGGATAAGCGTGGGTCGTGCCTCGTTGTTTTTCTACTTCTTCGCCAGGTATCGGTAGCGAACTGCAAGGAGGAAGTACCGTTTTGGAGTACGAAAAGTCACAGAGTTCCGTGAGAGGTTCGGGGCTATTACCCGAAGAAGTAGTAGGATCCGGTATCGGCGTCAGACGCGAGTCTTAACGAATAGACAGCCCCAGAGGAAGGACACCTTCCTCGCCTGACTTTTTGCTTTGCAGAATGGATGAGCGTTGTTGCTCGTTTTCTGCTGCCTTTGCAGGCGCTCCTTAGCATAGCTCTAAAACTTGCGAAGTTATTTCTGTCACGGGCTTCACTTTGAAATAAATCTCACGAAGTGACATGCTTTCATGAAGGAGCTAATGAATGTGCTTTGTAAATCAGGTTGGCTATTGGGCGGTTTGATACATACCGGTAGTTTGTTTGTCGATCCGGAGAAAGGATGTAGCTAGGTACTTGCATGTCACGTGGAAGATCCCAACCTACACTGCTAAACCATCAAGGAGGAAAGAGCTGGTATATTGCTACATTCTTCTATGAAGAAGCAGAAACCCCAGTAATGTTTATATAGTTGTCTGATTGCATTCAGTTTGACCTTAAAGAAACAAAATTAAGAAAGGCAAACTGCTGAGAAAACTCATCATATAGTAGAAAGCAGTTTCATGTATTAATGCATGTGTCTCATTCTAAAAGAAAGGTGCAATATGCCACTCCAAGTATTTGGAGATGATATTGCAGAGCTTTTAGCCTTAAGGTGTTTCCTTCACACTGTTGGTCATATTTTTCTGCCTAGTAAACTATATTAAGAACAAGGAACCTTTAGTTGTTGATTAGGGTGTTAATGGATGACTATTGAATTATTGTTGTTTCCTTGTGCCACTGTGCCCTTGGCTCCAAAGTACTTGATAGACTGGTGGTAAAATCAACACTCCTATTAACTGACAAAGGACTAATTTCCCAGGCTTCAGTAATGTCTCTGGCTAAGTTTGTCCCTGCTTGGCAACAATTATAGTCTGTTGATTCCCTCAGTTGCATATATTATATTTTTTCTTTAAGCAGAATTTGTACCTATACAGAGATTTAAACAGTGATACATTTTTCAGATGCAATTAGACCTTTGTAATGCCTTCTGTGTAGAGTTATAACTACTATTATTCTCCATCATGTGACCAAGTTGGGGGTTATCAACCATGCAAATACATTTTTGCATTGTTAATGGACAATCAATTCATATATTAAAATCCCAATACAAATTTTTAGCTGTTGTGAGTGAAGAGGGTACATCTGGAATTTTGAGAGCCATCAGTGATGTTTATTTTCAAAATAGTGGCTGTGATAAGAGTATTGAATTGAAAACACCATGTCCCATAAGGAAACCATTAATGTCATTTTTCTACCACTAACCCCTCCCCCAACTTTGCCTCTTTTTTTCTTGTTCAAGTGCAATCACTTCTAAATGGCAGTGAGCAGCATTTTTTTAAGAATGCCTATGTAATTGTGTAGGGATAGAAGTTGACTTTTTATTTGAAATTCAGCTTTTATTTTTTTAAATTATTACTTAAGGAAAAAAGGAGTTGCCAAGTGCATAGAATAGTGTCCATAGGCATATTGGTTTCTATAGATATCAAAGTGATTAGAGTACACAAAAGGAATTGATGGTCTGTTTGTAGGATTATTATATGAAAGATGAGTGTAGCCAACCAATCCTCAGTTATGTCAAAAAGAGGAACTTCCAGGTGTAATTTCTAGTTTTGAGTGTGATATTAAAATATTGTTTTAATATTACATATCCCAAACATCTGGCTTAGAAGAACAATTTATTCAGAATAATTTGTATCATCGGAGTATCTATTCCATAGGCCTTTCCAGTTTCTGAACTTTCTGTTTGTAGAGAAATTGTAAGATATAAGTTTAAAAGGCTTTGTACAATCCAGGGGTCTTATCAAATTAATTTCTTCTTTATATGTCCTCCAGTAGTACCAGTTTATTTACTTGTGCAGAACAATTGTATATTTACTGGCCTTCCAAAGAGTAGTCACAAATTCCATCAATAAAATGGAAGGCAAAGCACAAAAAACATAGAAATGCCAGTAGAATGTTTTGTAAAGCAGACAACCATAAGAATAAGATTGTGACTATAGTTAGAATCCCAGATTGTGGTCAATTTTCTAATGCCAAACATTCCATCATTCCCTACTTTATCATACATGAAATCTGCAGAAATTGCACCTTAATAATGTACAGTTATAAATCTCAATTTCAGTGGATAAAATATAACTTTGATTACAGCAACTAACAAGTATAGGTGGTCTGAATAATTTCTATCTTGAAATTCTCTGCAGTACAGCTTTCTCCAGGATTTTTAGATTTTGACTTCAAGCCTCTTCTATACCTAACTAAAAAAAACTTTCTAGGTGTCCTACCATAGAGACACAGCAAAGTGTCCAGCTAAATAATCTTCTGAAATTGATATTGCCAGATCTTTTCTTCACTGGTATCTTGCAGAGAATAGTTAGAATGGATTTTATGAGAAAGAGAAGCATCTAATTAAGTAGGCTTTCCTCCCTCCACTTTGCAGTTCATAAGAATTAAAGGACACTAAAGAAAGTATATAATGGACACTAAGGAAAGTGTTGCAAGAATAGTGTTAACATATAGTAGTTGAAATTTCCATTCCATAAACATAATTTCCCACTTTTTCAGAACTATCTCATTCCAGATTATTATTTTTATGAGACCAGTAATGCTCCATATTCTTTTCCTATTCTCCTCTTAATTTTGAGTTATGAGGCCTGAAACAGTTTGCTGAATTCAGGATTTATGTGTCAGAAGCATTAACAGACATATTAATAGCTTTTTGAAACTTACTTTCCTCACTTTCTATAAATTGCTGTTTATAGAATGTTCCTGGTTCATGCTTTCTCCCATGCTATGATACTAGCCATCATAATCACTGTGATGGCAGAAGAAAAGATGTGTGACCTTCTTGGGGAACAGGAACAAGAATCCTCAAAAGAACTAGCATTGATGAACAGACTGAAGCCACTTTTCAATCAAAGGTACAGTGTCAGTGGGTTTCAGATCAAACAGATAAGACTAGGGCAGTGATGGCGAACCTTTTAGAGACCGAGTGCCCAAACTGCAACCCAAAACCCACTTATTTATCACTGGGTGCCAGGTAGGCGTGGCCCACTGGGTGGGTGTGGCCAAGGTGGGTGTGGTCACCTTGATGTTGCTTATGGGGAGGGATGCCTGTGGGGACCGGGCAGGGTTGGGGGAGATCCAGGGGGTCTCTGGCAGGTGGGGCGGTGGGCAGGAGGCTCATTTTGCAGGGTGAGGCGAGGCAGGGTGGGGGTGCCATTGTCGCAAGGCGAGGCGGGCCGGGGCAGCTGCTGCCTGACACCATTGGCCCCCGCACACAGGCCAGCGAGCGCATGGGGCCGACAGTGTCCGTCAGCAGCCATAGCCTGCCGGCCCCTCAACCGGCGCACTCTGGGGCTCTGCAGCCCGCCACCAGCAATTCAGAGAAGCCGCCTCTGAGCTGGAAGGCCGGCCAACAGCTGAGGAGATGATGCAGTGAGTCGTGCCCGGGAAAAGGAGAGCATGCGAAGCCAGGAGGGATGGGACAGTGGTAGCTATGCTGGGATGCATCCAACCACGTGGCACCTCGGCGAGTTAGCGGGCAGCTGGTTGAAGAGGGATGGTTGCCATCTCTGGGGCATGGCACGCGTGCCCACAGAGAGGACTCTGAGTGCCACCTCTGGCACGCGTGCCATAGGTTCGCCACCACTGGACTAGGGAATGTTGCACTCTTTTGGATGCCAGAAGTAGAAAGCATTGTAATGAGACAATAAAAGTTGTTGCATATCAGAGCTAATTAATGGAGATTGATATAAGATCAGTACTTGCTCATAATTTCAACTTTGCTCAAAGTTGAAATGTGAGAAAAATTACTTTTAGAAATCTGTAACAACTCCATACCCAATATTCTGTTTTTCATGAGGCTATTGGAAATAAAGGTTATCCTGTCTTTATATAACCCTACTTAAGTGTTATATCTTCACATGCCATGCTAATTTTAATCCTTTCTTAGTGCTTCCACACTTCCCAGTTACCAAATCAGAAAAAATATTTAAAGGAAATTTATACAAGTAACATAACTTTATATTTTAATATACAGTGCATTCAGAAAGTATTCAGACATGAAGGGGATCTGAATACTTTCTGGATGCACTGTAGTTCAAGATTCCATAAGAGATGATACTCTATTTGTAATGAAATTAGGAATACACTGTTAATTGTGTTCTGGCTATTAACTATTCCTTCATTTGAGAGGCAAAGACCAGATTAGCATTATAAGAAATATTCCAGGAAAATATTGTTAACTTTCCTACTGTTTTTATTTTCCTGTGTTGGGGTAAATGTGGATGTAAATGTGTAAATGAGGGTATATATGTGTAAATTTGGGTACTAGTTTTCAGAAATAGTTTGGACAACAATTTGACTGGAATCATATGTAAGGTTCCTACCTTGAGCAGGGGATTGGACTAGAAGACCTCTGAGGTCATTCCCAGTCCTATGATTCTATATTATGTGTTCTAAATTGTCTATTCTTTGTAGTTTTGAAACAGAAAGCATGAATGATGATGGCCACTACATTTACAGACTGAGGATATGTCGAGAAGTCTTCAGCAATATGACCAATTCTGGCCTGGTGCAGATCAGTAAGATAGACAACAAACAAAAAGTAATAGGACGAATTAATGAGACCCATCTTGCAAATGGAAGTAAGACATAATTTGAACAGATCTATTGAGCGTTCTTATAATTATACTCATGCCTCATTGAATCTCTAATATTTCTAATTTGGCAGCTAGCTGGATTATGCTAATCTATCAGGGCGGCGATCCCTATGGTAACCATTGTACACAGGAAGACAGGAAAGCTTTAGTAATGATCATCTGCAACCGAACAACATTAGCAGTGAGTATAAGAATGGGGTAGTAAAAATGAATTATACTAAAGAAAACTAGTACATAACTCAGCCCTTACCATACTATTTACAGTATTGATTACATGCTACATAATATCAGAGCTGAAGTTGATTAGAAAAGAAAGGCTATGCAATTTACATGAAAATTGCATATCAAAATGTTTGCATGTGCTATAAGATAAATGGTAAGGTTGAGAGAATTGAGTAAGAAAAAGGCACATCATAGAGGAGACTATATTAGAACATTTTAATAATGCCATAGCCTAGGAAAATGGAATCTGCAGCCCTCTAGATAGTATTGACCTACACTTCTTTGTAGTTTCAGTCAGCATGCCATGTGTATGAATCAGGCCACAATAGGATTATGAAAATTGTGGGGTACTCTGTTGCTGAATATCTCAAGAGAGGAGGGGGGCAACTAAACTTTGTTTAGTGTGCCATTAGACTCTTACTATCTCTAAACAGACTGGCTTCACCATGGTGGCAGAAGAGAGGGAGAAGATAAAGCAATGTTCCTATATTTTTGAGTTAGAGAGCAGCTTGGCTTGTTCTCCGGAAGAATTGCACCAAAATGTACACCATCACCTCAGTATTGGCTCTATACTGCTAATCACGTAAGTTGATTTGAAATATTTAATAGTTCTTTTCTGAGTTAAACAGCTTCAAACAACTTACCATAATAATTTTAAGAGGGGGGGGAAGCATTCAAAATCAAATCATTTTAAAATAGCAGCTTGGCATTGTAAAACTAATTAAATAGCGATTTTAGTAATGCCTGATTACTAAAGGCTCATTGAGATTTTACATAAAAGATTCTGGTTCATTAGGTTATTCCCATTCAAGAAAGACTTGTAATTTAACTGTGATTTTTAAAATAATGCCATTTTGGGTCAATCAAATCTGAATATTACCATTGATAATAATAGCAAGGGTACTGCTGTGCAGGATGGCATCTAATGTAAGGCAATTAAAAAGACTGCTAACCTTAATTTTAAAGCATAGAAAGGAATATGCTGGAGTGTATCTATGTGCCTTCAGAGATTACAGATCTTGGTTGAAAGAGTTACCTACTTATAGCTCAAAGTGGGAATACATCCCTGTCTAAAATGGATTATGTATCAGACCTTCAGCATACTTTGCTTCACTGGCATCTTGCCATAAATTGCAAGGGAGGAGGGAGGCAATTGAGGAAGTAAGAATTGAGCATGAGAAGATGTAAGGAAAAGGGAGAGGGATGTCAGGGTGACAAGAACCAAAGCTGTTGATCTGGAATAAACCAGCCAATCAAGGACAAAGCCTGGGAACAGTATGCGAAACTACACCAGAGAGGCACCAACCTTTAAACCTGTTAAAACATCAAAAAGAAATATTATTGGACACAGATGGACTGGTCAAGGGGGGAGGCCCCAAGGGGAAAATTGCAAACTTTGTGTAGGAATACACAGATCCAGCTTTGCTTTCTCTGTAACCACTTGACTTTAGTAAAAGAATTACTTCAAAAAATGGAATTGAGGATCTATCTTTCCTAAACATCCAAGTTGGGACAAGCCTCACATTAAGCTGGATCTTCAGTAGCAATCAACCTGGAGATGCACAGTGGGAACTGTGCACGAAATATCTATACACAAAAGTGAACAGGAGGAGATGGAGGCTTGGGAAGACCCCATTTGAGACCCCAGAACGGCAGAGACTACCCTAACTGGGAAGAGGAAGCAGAAGCCTCCGATGACCAGTTGAAGCCCTGGGGGTTAGTAGAAAGGATGACTGGGAGGATAAGCCTTCGGGTAACTTTCATCCAGGGAAGGCAAAGTTGTTGAAGATCCACATGCGTTAAGGGTAAGTGCAGGGCAGCGAGAGGTGAACCGGACTGCAACAATGTACTCTTTGAGCAGGCTGTTAACTTCCTAAGAGATGCCTTTGAAAACCTCCAAGCCCGTGAAGCCCTGGCTGAGTTGACACTGCTGCTCAACCAGCTCGTGCCAGACAAAGCAGAGAGTAGCACAGCTGCACCCACCACCATGGCTGCCTATGCCAATACCACAGCCAGGACAACCAACGCCAGCACCACTGGCTTAACCACCACCACCAGCATGGGCCATAACGTCACGGAGAAGGGATCACAGACCCCCATCCTTGGAGGTGAAATTCAATGGTGATTCAGAACAACTGGCATTCGTGACCCAAGTATGGATCTACATGCAGGAGTATGGGGCTGATCTGCTGTCCAAAGGGGCCAAGGTGTGGAGCATGACTCTAGCGTTGAAAGAGACAGCAGACTGGATGGTGACCCTCCATAAGGACAATACTTCAGAGCTATCCAACTTTAACCAATCTGTGGGAGCCCTCTGGAAGAGGTTCAAGGATTCCCCCCACTGATAGAAAAGCCAGGACAAGGATTAAAACTATAACTCAGGGAAGATGACCTGTGACCATTTACACACAGGAATTTCACACCTTGGCATGCAAATTGACCTATTGGCCACAGGACATGCTGATAGAGTGTTTCTAAGATAGGTTGATCGATGACATTTACAACACCTGCATCTCCAGAAGCTGGTATGAATGGTATGGCATGGATAGTATGAACTGGTTGATGAGGTCAAAATGGGCCTAGCCAGATCCCGCAATTGTCCCAACTGTGGCTGGCAAAGAACCCTCCCTGCAGAGAAGAGGGAAACTCTGAGGCAAGGAGGATGAGACCAGTGTTCACACTGCCGTTCCATCTAATTCATCAAATGCAAGAAGGAGGGACATGGAGCTGTCAACTGCTGAAGCATAGCGTCTGAAGCAAAAGCCAACCCCTGATCCCATTAAGGCGGGAAAGCCTCCTGCAAAGCCCTGAGAAACTGCTTTAAAAGGAGTGGAGGTTGTTAAGTTCACCCCATTGCCCGGTGAAGGGAACTCCGACCCCCACAACCCAGGAGCCCTGTGGAAAGGAACAGCAACAACAACCTACTGGTAAGTTGCCCAGTGATACCCGTAACAATCCCAACAGAATTGGTTGTGCCTTCCTTGGGGCATAGGGAAAACCTGATTGCCCTATTGCATCAGATGCCTGGTTAGCTTGGATTAATGGAAAAACGGATTCAGAGAACTGAAGGTGCCCATGGCATTTTGCCAATTGGATGGTTCAGTGGCAGGGGAAGCCCCTGCAACATTTGTCACTGAACCAATTGAAATGAAAATAGGGCTCCACAAGGAGCTTCATTGTGGCACCAGGCATGGGCAGACCCTCGTATTGGGACTAGTGTAACTCCTAAAATGGAACACTTATGTGAATTGGAGGAAGCATATGTTAAAAATTTGGCGCAAGCAAAAGAGAGAACCACCCATGTGCATTCCTGAACTGTTGGGCGGAAAAGGGAAAGGGGAGGCTGTTGCTGTGGTGTGAGAACAACCTAAGGCAGAACCCAGTATTCCCCAAGAGTACTGGAATTTACAAGAAACTTTCAGTGAAAAGGACTTTGATGTGGTTCCCCGTCACTAGCCCTTTTGAGACTACCCCAATATAAAAGCTCCAAAGTTGAGGTCATTAGACCAGTCATCTCCTCCCAACAACTAGCAGCTCCCACCTTTGCTAGGGCATAGGGGAAAATCACCCCGCAAATGCCAGGCGAAATACTCGCAGCATTAAAAGTGGCATTAGAAAAAGATGATTGGTCCAAAACTCACAAAACTGACTGCACTTTGCAAGATAGCATAGCTTGGGTGAGTACCAAACTGTACGTCCCAGGGAGCCAACAAACCGTGGTCCTTCAAAAAAGCCATGATTCAAAGACCATGGGACATTTTGGTTTTGTGAAAACTCTACACCTCGTAAAACATAGAAGCATCTGTTGCTAGTTGCCCCATGTGTTAAAAGGCATTCGTGGAAACCCCCAGGTCTCCAGCCAGTGGCAAAACCCCAAGCACCCTGATAGGAAATCTCTATGGACTTTATAGTGGAACTACCAGAAAGTTCAGGGAATACAGTAATTTGGGTGATAACTGACCTTTTTCCCAAACAAGTATATTTTGTGCCATACCTAAGATTTCCTCAGCTGGCTCCCTAGCCAAGCTTTTCATGCAACATGTGTATAGACTCCATGGAGCCCCAGAGCACATCATTTCGGATCATAGGGTTCAATTCATCTCTCAATTTTGGCAGGAGTTCCTAAAGTTGCTTGGCACCATCTAGGGACTTAGCTCCTCCCATCATCCCCAGATAAATGGAGTGTGAACACACAAATGTTGTCTTGGTACAATACCTAAGATCCTATATTAACTATCAACAGGACAACTGGTCTGAGCTCCTCCCCTTTGCAAAGATAGCCTACAATAACGTACTACATAGTAGCACAGGCTTCACCCCCTTTAAAATTGCCATGGGCCAGGACTTTGTAGTCATACCTGAATTACCCCAGGCTAAGCCACAAACTACATCACTGGCAGAATGGATTACACAATTTCAAAGCATTTGGCCAGTAGTCTGCAAAGTTCTAGAGGAAGCACAAGAAGCCTATAAAAAGCATGCCAACACAAAATGCTCCAAACTAAAAGATTTTAATGTAGATGATAAGGTCTACCTCTCCACCAAATATTCGCAAACCAGGCAACTATAAAAAAACTAAATACATTGGCCCTTTCCCTGTCAGCAGGGTCATCAATCCAGTAACAATTCAGTTGGACCTACGAAAAATTCAGATGTGTTCACCCAGTCTTTCAGTGTAGTCTATTAAAACCAGCAATCACTTCTTCCCTATGCCCTGCAACAAATCCAACACCAACCCCCATTCTAATTGAAAGGGAGCAGCATTTCGAAGTTAAAAGAAATTTTAGATTCTCGTAAACATTGAGGAAAAATCCAATATTTAATTTCATGGAAGATTTCCCTCCCTTAGAGACAGAATGGATAGATGCCCAACTCTTCTTCACAAATTCCACCACCAAATATCCAGATAAACCCCGTTGAATTCTAACTGCCTCTCCTTTTTTGTCTCCTTTTATAGGACTAACATTTTTTGGGGGGGTGCAGAAGGTCAGGCCTGCCATCTTCAGCATACTTTGCTTCACTGGTATCCTGCCATAAAATGTAAGGGAGGCAATTAGGGAAGTAAGAATTGAGCATCCTAGTGTAAGGAAAAGGGAGGAGGACCCAGAGCTGTCAATCTGGAATAAACCAGCCAATCAAGGATGAAGCCTGGGAACTGTATGTGAAACTACACCAGAGAGGCCACCAACCTTCAAAGCTGTTCCCAAAACATCAAAAAGAAATATTATTGGACTCTGATGGACTGGTCAAGGGGGAAGGTCCCAAGGAAGTGAAAAATTGCAGACTTTTCATGGTAATATTCAGATCTAGCTTTGCTTTTGCTGTAACCACTTGACTTTAGTAAAAGAACTTTTAACTTCAAAAAATGGAATACTTAAATGTATTTCCTAAACGTGTAAGTTGGGAAAAGTCTGACATTATGTACTTTCACCCACCACTAAAAATTGGTGTCAACCGTCCCACTTAGTTATTTGGAAAGAAAGATTCCTGGCCATTTGTTTTGCCAAAAGTATACTTTACTGAAGTTTAAATAGTTACAAAAGTAGCATAAACTGAATCTGATGTTTTCCCATACAGACAAGA